GTGTCCAATAATTTGGTGTCGAATCGATCGGTGTCGAATTGTACTGTGGTCAAACGGAACACGCCCCCTTTTTTCCACTTCTGATTCAGATCACCACCGAATGGTGATCCGAATCCACTTGATCTCCTATTTCCATTTTCTCCACATATTCCTTCGTGCTTACTTCCCCTAACACATAGTCACTCACTAACTCCCCTCTTCCACCCGTGTATGTCCATTCCCCCTCCTTGTCTCCTTTTGTGTCCCCGTTCCATATTACCCATCCCAGTTCCTCAATCCTCTCCAGCAATAATATTCTCTCCGCGTTCACTTTCTTATCCTTCAACCTCCTATCCCCATCCTCCTCCTTTCCTTCTCCCCTCAATTCTCCACCCTTTTCTTCTGTCCTCTCATTAAAATCTCTTCTCACTATTGTCCTCACTTTTCCATTCTCTCCCTCCATCCACTCCCTTAACTCCTCTAATTTTTCCTCTATCCTCCCGTTTATATACACCCCCACGATCCTCCACCACTCTCCCCCTATCCTCACTCTTCTCACCATTATCCCATCCCTTCTTTTCCATCCCTTCTCTTCTCTTGCCTCCATCGCCTTCCTTACTCCCAGTAACATCCCTTCCATAGCCCTACCCTTCCTATTTTTTTTACTCGCCCACTGTACCTCCCAACTAAAATTTTTTGGCAGTTTCCCAACAATTCCCGCCCACCCTTTTTTGTTCATCCAAGTTTCCATCAGAATCACCACGTCCCAACTCTTCAACCTCTTCTAAAAAGTTTTATCTTTTTCCTTAAGTCCAGCCACATTCCAAAACATCACTTTTACACTCTCATCCTTCCTTTCCTCCTCCTCACTTTCATGATTTTGTTCTCCCTTCTCCCCCCTAACCTTCCTACCTATATCTTCCTCTTTCCCCATTGATCCTTCTCCCGCTTCCTTCCCCTTTTCTCCCTGTTTTCACCTTCTTACTATTTTACCCAGGTTCCTTTTCTCCTCGTCCCATCTCCACCAAACCCCCTCCATCTTTATTCTGTCATCTTCCACCCAGACATTTTTTCCTTTCCTCCTCTCTCCCGCCGCAATTACTCCTAATTTTCTTCTTACCTTCCTTTCTTTCCACGATAGATCCTCCTCTATCCATACTTTTCTCCCCTTTAATCTCTTCTTCTTATCCGGAAACTTCCGTTTTCGGCAGCAAGTTGGCGAACAGTGGTAGAAAGTATTGAGAGCGATTTCAGTCTTTTTTGACGAAGTTAGCCAGTGGTTAGAGTGAATGTTGTGTGTGAGTGTGTAAGAGAGTAGTTGGAAGGAGAGGGCATATAGGTGGAGGTAAGTGTAGCGAGGGGAGGGTATTAAGGAAGGTTAAAGGGTGGCAAGGAGCTGAGAGGTTAGGTTGGCAAAGGAAGGGAAGGTAGTGAATAGAAGGTTCAGAGAGTGCAGAAGGGGCAGAGGGTGTAGAGCCCTAGGGAATTCCTGGGGACATCTTTAAGGCGGAAAGGGCTTAAGCCTTTCGTGGTAGCGAGGAAAGAGAATGGCAGAAGAAAACGGAAAAGGGATAGAGAAGAAGGTGAGAAATATGGAGGGATGGAAGAGAGTGAGATCGGGTAGCGAGAGCTCGCCTCTAGATATCTGGGTAAAGAGAAAAAGGGATGATGAGGAGGGAAAGGAGAGAGAGGGGGAATGGTTGTTCGCGAAGAGCAGGAAGACGGCGAGATCTCCGAGTGGAAAAGAGGAAGGTGGAAAGGAGAGAGATATAGGAGAAGAGGGGAAAGAAGGAAAAAATGGGATATGGGAGGAGCTAGAGAGGACTAGGAGAAAGATGGAAGTGTATATTGATAAGGTAAAAAGTATGGAGAGGGAGTTGGAGGATTGGAAGAAGAGGATAAAGATATTAAGAATGGAGGGGGAGAAGATGAAAGAAAAAATGAGAGCTGGAGAAAAGGTTGGAAGAAAAAGAGAGGAGAGAGGAAAAGAAAAAGGAGGGGAAAAAAGAAGTAGAGGTAGGGAGCAAATGGGAAGGGAGATTGAGAATGATAGAAGAGAATATAGAGAGAAAAAAGAAGGAAGAGAGAAGGAGGAAGAATGTCATAATAAAAGGGGTTCCTAGGGAAAAGGGTGACTGGAGAAGAGGAGTGGAAAAGCTTTTAAAAGAGATAGGAGCGGAAGTGAGGATAGGCGAAATGAGGAGGATAACCACAGGAAGGGAGTATAAAGAGGAAATGGTGTGGTTTTAAGGGTGGAGAGGGAGGAGGACAAGAAGCAATAAGATATTAATTAGTAATAAATCAGAATTCAGAAGCAAGAAATTGACTAATCACAATCGATTATTCTTCTGTGATTTGGTAGTGATTGGTCAATTTCTTGCTTCTGATTTCTGATTTATTACTAATATCTCATTGTAGAAGGCCCTTTAGAAATGTAAAGCACATTTCAGTTTTAGGGTGCACGAGCGATTAAATGGTAAAAAAAATGTTAAACTTTGTAATGGTTTCAGAAGCGCTATTACTCTCGAGTGTCGGTAAATATTTGTTTATTATACGTCAAGGCAAAGAACCAGCCGGCTGAAAATTTGCACAAATATCCTTTGATATGTTGTACATGTAGTGGACATTTCACTTTTAGAGAGCATCAACACCAATGCTAAAAAAACTTCCAACTTTTTAGAAATCGTTCTCCTCCGCAAATGTCGATAAACATTTGTTTATTATTCGTTATTGCAAAGGACTATCCGGCTATAAATTTGCACAAACTAGCTTTGTAATAATAGAAACGCAGTAATCATTCAATTTTTCCAAAGCACAAACGTCTTCAAAGTTAAAAAGAAATGTTAAACTTTGTAATGGTTTCAGAAGCGCTATCTCCCTCGAGTGTCGATAAACATTTGTTTATTATTCGTTAATGCAAATGAAAACCTGGCAGAAAAGTTGCACAAATATTTTCTGATATGTTGTAAATGTAAAGCACATTCAATTTTTAGGGAGCACGAACATTTTTGGTGGTAAAAAAACTTTTTAACTTTTTAAGATGCGTTATTTCGCTTGAGTGATGATAGATATTTGTTTAGTATTCGTCACTGCAAATAAACAGCCGGCTGACAATTTGCACAAATATTCTATAAAATGTTATAAATTTAGTAAACACTCAATTTTTAGGAAGCACGAACATTTTTGTTGGTAAAAAAAACTTTTACACTTTAAGATGCGTTATTTTGCTTGAGTAACGATAGATATTTGTTTATTATTTGTCATTGCAAATGAACAGCCGGCTAACAATTTGCACAAATATTCTTTGAACTGTTATAAATGTAGTAAACAGGGCGGAGCCCTTTTAGAAGAGTTCACCAGGAAAGGAAAAAATGCGCGTGTCGCATTCGTGTTTTACGATTTCGAGACCCGGCAAGACAAGACGCTTAAAAGTATCGCGTTTGTGAAAATTCTTATGCCCACTCTTTGCGTCGCGCAAAAGATTTGCGTCACGTGTGCAAACGAGGACGACATGACGGTGCGTTGTCGGTGGTGCGGTGTGCGCGAATTTGTGGTCCGCGATGATGCGGTGAAGCAATTCGTCGATTTCGCTTCGAGAACGACGAAATGTTTCAAGCAGATTATTTGCATCGCGCACAACGCCAAAGCGTTTGACTCTCAGTTCACCTTGCGTTACATTGTAGAAACACGTGTCGATTTGGATCCGCGATTACTATTACACGGAACAAAGATCATCGTATTAACGGTCGGGCGTGCGAAATTTATCGACAGCATCACCTACATGCCGATGCGTTTGTCAGCTTTGCCCAAGACTTTCGGTTTGCGAGGTGGCGTGGAAAAGGGATATTTTCCACATTTATTTAACACCCTCGCGAATCAGTCGTACGTCGGCCCGTTACCAGCCGTTGAATAGTACTTGCCAGATAGTATGTCTAGCAAAGAACGCGAGCGTTTTTTGTCATGGCACTTGGAACAGACGCGTGAAAACGCCGTCTTTGAGTTTCAACGCGAGATAGTGCGCTATTGTCGTAAAGGTGCGTACTGACCAGGGACTTATACCGGTATGCAAAATACCGGTATTTTACCGGTATTTTTGGGTAATGGTATGAAAACCCTTATGCAAACCGAAATGCAGATATACCGGTATGACGTCATACCGGTATACGATATACCGGTATATTTACC